GGATGCCCATCAATTGGGGAATGGCTGAACAAGTTGTGGTATATGAATGTAATGGACTATTATTGTTCCATAAGAAATGATGAGCAGATGGACTACAGAAAAGCCTGGAGACTTGTATGGTCTGATGCTGAGTGAAGTGAGCAGAACTAGGAGGACATTGTACACAGTAACAGCCACGCTGTGTGATGACCAACTTGGACAGACTTCGCTCATAACAGCAATGGATCTAAGACAATTCCAAAAGACTCATGATGGAAAATGCTATTCCCACTCAGAGAAAAAATTATGGAGTCTGAAGATTGAAGCATACTGTTTTTCCTTTTTTTTTTTCTTTTTCATGGTTTTTCCCTTTGGTTCTAATTCTTCATTATAACATGACTAACGTAGAAGTATGTTTAATGTGATTGTACGTGTAGAGCCTATATCAGATTGCATGCCATCTTGGGGAAGAGGGAGGGAAAGGGGTGGGAGAAAATTTAACTCAGAATCTCATAAAAGTCAATGTTGAAAACCAAAAATAAATATTTTTTTAAAAAGATTAGCAATCATCTAACATAGAGATGATTATTGGACCCATGGGAGCCATGAGTCCCTGAGTGAGATAGTAGAGAGGAAAAGAGAAGGGGCCCAGGAGAGAGCCCGAGACCACCTCATGGTCAGTGTGTGACCTGGAGAGCTGAGGAGTGGTCAGACAGCACTTGGAGGCTTGCAAAGTGCTTTAAGGGCATTGTCTCCTCATCCCTCCAGCCGCCATCCTCCCAGGCTCCTCCTGCAAACTCAGAATCAGCCTTGACCCTCACGCCCCATCTCACCCTCTGCCCCTCTGACGGGAGGGTGGAGCCATGAATGGCTCAGGAAATGGAAATGCAAACAGGAGAGCTGTGCCCTCCTGCCCTCATTCCCTGCCGCTACCCTGTTTGGGCCTTTTTGGCTTCTCCACCCACTGGGCACCTCCCATCTCCCCCTCCCCCCTCTGGTTTTTCAGCCTTCCTTTGTGTGTTGCCTTCACTCCCTTGGTTCTAAGCTCCTCAAAGGCAGGAACTGTCTTTCTTTTTCTCCTCTGTGTCTGTAGCAGCTTAGCACAGTGCCTGGCACATAGTAGGTGCTTAAAATATTTACTATTGGCTTTTCTCAATTGATCTTCACAACTACCCTGACAGGTAGTTGCTGTCATCCCCATTTTACAGATGAGAAAAGGGTCCTCCATCTAGCAAGCAGCAGAAGCAGGATTTGAGTCTTCCTGACTCCAAATCCAACACGAACCAGGAGAGAAGGCTCATAAAAGCCTGGAGGAGAATAAGCAGTGGGAGGGGCAGGCGGATCTGCAGCAGGATGCCGGGGATGCTGGGGATGTCAAGGATGCCAAGGAGTAGTGCTGAGGGGAGACGGGAACGGGCTTGGACATGAGCAGCTGGAGGCTTACAATCACTGCAATGGGGAGGGTGTGGTGAGCAGGAGAAGCCAACTGCTGACAAGTGAGGCCAGCTGAGCATCAATGGATGAGGAGAGGTCTACTGAGGAAGGCCATGACCATGCCCCCCCCCCCCCGACATCCAGCTTCACAACGGGTGGTAATCCGTGTCCTGGGAGGGCCCCCTCACCACCAAGAGGGGCAGAGAAGCTCTAGGAGCCTGGTCAGGGGCAGTGGGGCTGGGTCTGAGCTGGAGAAGGTCCCCAAGGGTAGGGGAGGGCTCTCATCCACAGCTGGTCACCAATGTGCTACCACTGGAGAAGGCCTCGAGGGCCATCCCTTTAAAAACAAGAAATGAAAACCACCTCAACAGGCCGGAATGTAAAGTCATCGTTCCTGTCCCGTTCTCTGAAGATCCTCCCGGCATCCTGGAAGGCAGCAGCTCCACAAGGTCAGCCACCAGCTCCTGCAGACTGGGGCTCCAGGTCCTCTTCTCCCCCTTACCCCCCAACTTGTGCAGGGCACCCCCTCACTACTCAACAACCTGGTTCTCACGTTTCTTCTGCAGAGATCTCCTCTCTCATTAACTGGAGGGCCCAGCTCCACGTGGCCATGGCAGCAGTGGGCCTGTCCCCCCAACATCAATGTGAACACCCACTCAGCCCCCTGACACCACTCACAGGGCCCTAGACTTGCAGCTGGAAGAGATCACAGAGGCCATGAAGTCCAAGGTCCTCATTCTACAGGAGGAAAATGAGGCATGCTGCTGGATCTGCCCATAGTCACAGAGCTAAGGAGTGGAGCTGAGAGTTGAATCCAGGTCTTCCTGACTCCACATCCCGTTCTTCCCACCCTCCCATGATGCTGCCTCTTCAAGGAGGCATGACATACTCTTAGATTCATCCTGCTCCCTTCCCTGTTTCTATCATTGTCCGTGTCTTTTTAAAAGTCGGCCCGAGGCTCTACAGTACAAGGTTAGAAGCCAGGGGATGAACCTGGCGAGGGCTGCCCCAAGGAAGGGGTACCTCCTATCTTGGAAAGGAACAACAGAGCAACCATCTCCTGAGGGACAGCCTTCACTCAGTCTCTCTTGTTTCATGTAGATGCAGCCAACCTTGAAAGCCTGAGAAAGTTATCCTGGAACAAGGCTAAGAAAGAACCCCAGCAACACATCTGCAAACCAGCAGCCCAAGAACTCAGTGATGACTCTGGACATCCAAGGGTCCACGTTCGAAATTAACAAATGGCACATTTTAAAACACCCCAAAGGTGGGGAACTTTAAATGTTTCTGTTTTAATCCAAATCCTCATTTCTCTTTCATTGATCTTGTCCCCTTCCATGGGCCCAGTGACCATCTCTGCGGGCAGGTCTCCCACTTCTACATACCCAGCCCTCAGCTCTCAGCCAAGCTTCAGTCTTGCATCTCCAACTGCCCACTAGACATGGCAAACGGCACATCCCATAAACATCTTCAACTCAAAATGTCCAAAACAGATCTCGTTCTCTTGCCTGTCCCTTTCCCCAACCTTCCCTATTACTGCTGAGGGAATTCCCATCCTCCCAGTCCACCGGGGCCCCCAACTAAGATGTCCTCCTTGACTCCTCACTCTTCCTTGCCCCCATATTAAAATCAGCTTCCCAATCAGCTCGTTTCCATTTTGACATCCCTTCTCTCCACTCCACCCACCCCACCACGGAGCAGGCCCTCATCCCCTCACACCGCTCCTGCATCTGTCTCCTGGCTGGTGCCCCTCCTCCAGACTTTCACCACTCCAACCCGGCCTCCAAATCACCGCCAGAGGGATCTTCCTAAAGTGAGATCTGAGCCCGTCAGCCCCTCACCAGCTCGGCAAACTCGAGGAAGACCCTCTTCAACACTTCAAGTCTGTCCAACTTGTCCCCTCCCTGCCTTTGCAATGTTTTCTATCTGATCCCCCTCCACCCACACTCACTTGCTACTCATGGAGTCACAGAATTTGAGAGTTGGAAGGGACGTCAGCAGCAGCTAATACAAGCCATGCCCAAAAAAGATGGTTCACAATAACACAGCCAGCCCAAGGTTCCTCCCAAGCACGGCTCCACCTCCCAGCTCTGCGCCTCTGCCTGACTGTCCCTTCTCCCCTCCGCCTCTCAGCTTCTGGCTAGACTCCCACCTCACCCATCCTCACGCCCCAAGGCCAGTGGCTCCAAGCGCCTTCCCCGTCTATTCTGCATGCGTCTTGTATGTCCCAGTTATTTACATGTCACCCTTTGGCATGTGAGCTCCTTGAGGGCAGCCCAGCAGAGCAGGCACTTCACCAATACCTACTGACTGAGTGACTGACTGCAGGTCAGGACAGCCTTAATTCTGAAAGTTTCTCCCCCACCCACAGCTCAGGGGTTTTCACACCTGATATCTGATTTTCCTAAAATGGATAAATCTCTGACATCTCAAACTAATGAGACATGCTCGTAAGAAAATGATGCTTGGGACAGCTAGGTGGCACAGTGGATCTAGAGCACTGGCCCTGGAGTCAGGAGGACCTGAGTTCAAATCCGGCCTCAGACACATAATACTCACTAGCTGTGTGACTCTGGGCAAGTCACTTAACCCCAACTGCCTCACCAAAAAAAAAAAAAGATATTAAGATGCAATGGCATATCATTGTACAATCTACCTTAAAACCCCAGCAAAGAACAGGACAGGCCTCCACATGTCCAGCCCTGTCCAGGAAAGACAACAAAGGCAGCCTTCCAAGAGTCCTTCCCTGGGAAAGGTGACTTAGGTTAGCCAAAGTCTTGCTGAAGAGGAAGATTTTTGCTCCAGCATCTTTCTCCTGAAGCAAGTGTGGCTAAACATAGCCTCAGAGTCCCAGAGCCCAGCGGGATCTACAGAGGCCACAGTGATTCAGGGGCCAGGGCACTCAGTCATGAATCCACAGTGCACCAGGCCTGGCAGACAGAGCAGGCCAGAGAGGACAGACACGGCAGCCTTCATACAGCCCAGGGATGAGCAAGGCACGGCATTACCCAGTGAGTCCGGAAAGCCTCTTGGCCAAGTCCAGAGATTGTCCTGGGCCCAAAATACTGAGTCAAAGATGGAGGGCGTGGAGAAATTACAGCAAATTACTAGCATTTAGAGAGAACTTTAAGGTTTGCAAAACACTTTACAAACATCTCATTCTGTCCCAAAAAGCCTGGGAGGTAGGTGCTTTTCAAAAAGGAGCAGAGCCTGGGCATGACAGGACTCTGCAATGCTGCCCAGCGTTAGTCTGTGGGGCCAGAGGAAAGCAAGAGGAGAGGAGACCAGATCTTTCCCACTCTGCCCTGCCTCCCAGGCCAGAGGGCTGACCTCTGCTGACCTCAGCCAGGGCTGACACAAGCAGGAGCCCAAGGTGGAACGGAGAGTACAGAGGCCTTTTGCAATGAGTCGCCAGCTCAGTGGCCATCTCTGAGCCTCTCACCCCTGGACAGCCACACACAGAGTGGACAGCCCAGCTTCCTGTGCATGTGAGGCTGACCCTGTGCCACCACCACCACCCCAGAGAGGGGCACAAAAGCATCAACCGAAAGTCCTAAAGCAACAATAGAGAGCTCAGGCACACTCACCAGGCCAGCTGTCAACGATGGAGCTGACTGCCCCAGGGACTGGTTTCTCATGCGGACCAGGTTGGAGGCTTCTCCTGAGCACTGCCAGGCTGGCTGTCCCATGCCACTGTGCCCTCCACTCGACAATGGCAGCAGCTGCTTGCCTGCAAGGGGGAGAAGCATTACAGCCTGGTAAAGTGGCTAGGGCAGACCCCACCTTAAATAGACCCAGGGCATTGGAAGGGTGAGGGGAGGCATGACCCCTAAGGTCCTATGAGCACCACATTCAAGAAAAGGGTCTAGAAAGAGGGATGTGGCTGGGACAAAGAGTTGGACACCCGTGGCTTCCCAGAAGCCCAGAGACGAGGACTCAGCAAACTTCCTACCACCTGAGCCCCCAGTCTGGATGGGACTGTCCTGAGCTCAGGCCAACAAAAGCTTCTACAGCCCCCAGACACAGGCACACGAACAGGCCCCACCCCCCAGCTCTCAGAGTGAGGTCTGGGCTGTCAGCAGTGGCTGGTCACAGAGGCCTCTCCAGCCAGTCAAAAAGCTGTGGAATGGTTCTCCTGCTGGAAAACCCTTCTCCTTCATTTGGTCCACAAGCATCTCTTATAATCCCACTTTGTGCCAGGAAGCGTGCTGGTCACTGGGGGCACCACAAAGCTGCCCAGCCACTCTCTGCCGGAGCCTTCCAGAAGCATCTCTCTGACTCATCTGTCCAGCACTTGCTCTGCGTGGTCTGACCACACTGCCCAGTGGCCAGGGGGGCTGCCCCCGGGAACAGGGGAGGGGCCACTCAGCAAGGCAATCCCTGAGCCTGGACCACAACCAATGTCGCACCATTTACATGGCATTTCCTCATCTTTAAAATGGGGGGGTTGATACTGGCACTGTCTGTTTCATAAGGCCCTCTGTAACCTTGCAGGGTCAGGCTGGTGCGAGCCCTCAGGTAGCTGTGGCTGCAATGACACACGCAAACATAGCATCAGCCTTGTTACCCATGTTTATCTTGGACAAAGTCATTCTGTGTCTGTATCTCCAGTGCCTAGAACAGTACCGAGCACACAGTAGGCACTTAAGGAATGCTTGGGAGTGATGTCTGTACTCAGAGTCTCCCCACCCAGAGAATGCCAGCTCCCTGAACTCTGGAACTGCCCCACTTTTTGTCTCTGTGTCCCCAGCGACCAGCATGACACCTGGCATGTGGTGGATACTTAATGAACGCGTGCTCATTAACTGATTGACAGAAACATCTGGAAACGACTTTGAAAACCAACCAGCCAGCCCACAAGACCACACCTTCCCTCCCTCCCAATGGCCTTCTCTCCCTCCCAATGGAGTCCTTCAGGAGCCCAGAACAACTGAAAATCCTCCTGTGGCAATGCCTCAATTTCCTCAGCCAGTTTGGGTACAAGGAATCAAAAAAGTTTAGACCTCCCTCCCCCCTCCCCCAGACCATTTGACAGATAAGTAAAGTGAAGGGACTTGCCAGTCCAAGGTCATATGCCTAGCTGGGGGAACAGTGGGGATGCCAAATCAGGTCCTCAGGCTTCCCTAGGCAGAGAGCTCCCCCAGACTCCACACAACCTCCAAGAAAGGCAAAATTGAGGGGTCCCACCCCTCTCCAGGAGAAGATGTGCTCGGTCGGGGTTGCCCGGCCCAGGCACCAGGGGTTCTCGGCCCCGTAGCTGAGGCTAACGAGAGCTGACTGCTGAAGGTGGCAGAGGAGAAAGGGCACTGGTCTTGGGGTCAGAAGCTCTGAATTCAAGTCTGGGCTCACATTAGATGCTAGCTGACTTCCCCAGAGAACTCACTCTGACTTATCTGTAGAACGGGGACAACAGCACCTCCCTCTCTCATTTGTGAAGATCAAACAAGTGAATATTTATATAAGCACTCTGCAAAGCTTGACATATTCTAGAAATGCCAGCACCATCACTATGTGATGCAGGCCCACAATGCTCTACCCACCAGGCTTCTCTCTGCAGGAGCCCTCTGCCAGCCCCCAACCGTCTCTTCCCTCTGACATCTTCCAACTATCACGGAGCTAACTGGTTCACACCTGGCTACTGGGATGCTGTCTCCCATTAAAGGAGGAGCTCCCTGGGAGTACAGACTTCTTTGTTTTGCCAATGTTTATTGGCACAGACCTGGCACATACTAGGTGCTTAATAAAGGCCTGGTGACCGGTGCATTGATTTCAAGATGACACAGGGACTTCAGGAAAATAAACCAGGGGACTCTAGCGCCAGCCTCGACACTCACCTGACAGAGACAGGGCCGTGGCCAGGCTCCCCCGGCCCCGGACTTTGCCGTCGTCCTGACTCAGCTGCCGATGAAGCTTGGCTTTTCCACTCGAGGAGAACAGGTCAGGATTGCTGAGCTTCCGGAAGATCAAGGGGCTGGGTCCTCCGGCTATAACATCCTGTTGGAGAAACACCAGCACAGGGGTCTCATCTCCATACTCTGCTGAGAAGAACGAGAGTATGACATGCCCACGTCCCGATCCCCGCATCGAGGGAAGCTCCCTCAGGCCGCAAGCTGGCATATTGTTGTCACTGTATCACTAATGTCTAGCACAGAACCCGGCACACAATAGGTATTTAAGCAACCCTTGCTGAATCAAACTGAACCAGACAGGTAATCTGCAGTGGGTGGTGCACGTGCTGTGCTGGTTGGACCAGGACCAGGACCACGAGTCAGAGAGATCCAAGGAAGAAAAATGGACACTTGTCCCTAACCACGAAGACTGGGGCCCAGGGTGTGGGCAGCAAATCCTCTTTGTTGATTGTTTTGGTCAGTAATATGAACAGCCCTGACAATCCCCAAGCCATTCTCTTCCGTCTAAGATCTTCTTCCAGCTATCCTGATGCTAACTGCTTCACACCTGGCTATTGGGATGTCGTCTCCCCATTAGAGTAGGAGCTCCCCGCTCCCAGGGAGCAGCCCTGACAACCCTGGGACGCAAATAGTGCAAGTTCTGATGCTTCCAAGTTAAAGAGGGGGAAACTGAGGCTAAGAAGCTATATGGCATGCTGAAAGAGATAGAGCTAACAGGTATCATCAGGCCGGGGACTGCACCCCAGCCCCTCACGACAAAGCCACCATCTTCCCCCTATTCCAACAGCTCTTGATTGGTGAGGATGTTGTCCTGTTCATTTGTTTTAAAATTGCTCTTGCTGGGGCAGCTAGGTGGCGCAGTGGATAGAGTACCAGCCCTGGATTCAGGAGGACCTGAGTTCAAATCTGACCTCAGACACATAATGCTAGCTGTGTGACCCTGGGCAAGTCACTTAACCCCACTGCCTAGCCAAAAAAACAAACAAACAAACAAAAAGTGCTCTTGCTCCTGGCTAGGCACCTTCCACACAGCTATGAAACCAGGGCTGCCAAGACCAATAACAATACTTCTTCCTCTGCCCATGGCCCAGAGCACTAAGAAAAAGCCCAACACTGGACAAAGCTGTCATAATCTCTCTTGTGGCCCAGCAAAATATAAGACTTGAAAGTGAAATGTACACGTGTGTTTCTGGTCCAAACCTGAGATCCAGGGCCACAGGAAATGTGTGAGCAGACCTCCCTGTAATGCTCTGCCAATCAAACCATCAAAGAGACCCTTTTACAGAACTACACGAAATAACAGAATATTTATTTGGAGGAACAAGAGAGCTCAAACATCAATAATGAAAAGAAGGCAGGAATGAAGAGAAACAACACCCATCTGTATCAGAAAGCAGCCAAATCACTTGGTACTGGTTTAGACACAAAACAGAAAAAGACTAGATGAGGAAGAATCAGAACTAGAACTCAGTACCTCATGTCTGACTCTTAGAAACCTAGTGCAGTGGAGGTCCGGACACGTGCACACCCTATCAGGGTGCCTGGCTGAGACAAGTCCTCCAAACACTGGTGTGGGGGAGACACACTTCCCAAGTATCTCGATGCCATCAAAAGTGAAGCAGCCTGGAGAGCCTGTGGCACCTGCAGACATTCTGTAAAGTGGGCTGATCCTGGGAGGAAAGGGAAGATCTCTGGCCTCAGAGGCATTCCAAAGAACCTTGCAGCTCAACCAGGCCTCCTTTGCTGACAGTAAGGGAGCAAGCAGCTAAGGTCTTGCCCTGCTTTGAGGCTGTGGGACTCCAAGAAACAGGCTTCAGCCTTTCAATATGAGGGGGAAGAAGGGGAGTCTCTAACCCTGTGAGGAGCTGAAGGGCCAGAACCTGGAAAGTGGGAGACAGTTTCCACACTGGGCTTTGTATCCGGTGGGGCATGGATGCTCGAGGAGCAAGGACTGACCTTTAAGAGTGACACTGACCATCTTACTGCAACTGGACACACATTTGGTGGAACCAAGGCCAAAAGGGCACAGCCCCAGAGGCCAAGGTGGGAGAGGGGACAGCATGTTCTGGGAAAGGTTGGGGAATGTCTGTTCTGAAGTAACTATCCCTCTGTAAAAGCCAATTAAGTGATCAAATAGAACTGAAGGGCCAGGACCTAGCACCTGATAATGGAAGGAGCAGAGTGGGGGCTCAGGCCAACAGAGAAAATATACTCCAACCCCAGTTACCTCCTCCACCCCACCCTCGGGACCCGGAGGGGCAGCCAGAGCAGCCCGGCCAAGAAACGTATACACTACAATCAACTACCTAGCCTGAGACCAAAACTTTATACCATATCGCACAATAAATTCAAAAGGAATACATATTTAGTTCATGTATACCTTTTAAATAAAGATTATCATAAAAAGATTAAGCAGATTATAGAGTTTTCACAGCAATAGGTAAGAGATGTATTCTTAGCCAAACAAGAGAGAAAAGCAATTATAAAAGATAAAACATTAATTTTGATTGTACGGAAATTGGAAAACTTTTGCAGAAACAAAATTTATGCATCTATTATAAGTAGAAAAGCAGTCAAATTGGGGAAAAAAATATTTGTATCAAATATCTAAGGGCTTGATGGCCAAGATATATAGACAACTGACAGAAATATATATGACCAAAAGGTAGTCTCCAATAAAGAAGTGATCCAAGAATATAAACTGTTCTCAAAGAGAATTATAAATGCATTTTCCCTGGTTATCCCCAATGCCTGGAACCTCTCCATCTTTATCCCCAACTCCTGGCTTCTCTCAAGTCCCAACTAAAACCCCTCCTTTTCAAGAAGCTTCTCCTGGTCCCCACGAATTTTAGTCCCTTCCCTCTGTTGATTATCTTCTACTTATCCAGTATAGCTTGTTTGTACAGAGCTTTTTTGTGGTCTCCTCCATTAGAGCTCTTTGAAGGCAGAAACCATCTTTTGGCTTTCTTTATATCCCAGCCTAGCACCTAGAACAAAGCCTGAAACAAGATGGGTGCTTAATAAATGCTGGTTGAACAACTAACTATTAAGAACTATATGGGGGCAGCTAGGTGGCATGGTGGATAGGGCACCAGCCCTGGGGTCAGCAGAACCTGAGTTCAAATCCAGCTTCAGACACATAATACTTACTAGCTGTATGACTCTGGGCAAGTCACTTAACCCCAATTGCCTACCAAAAAAATATCCAAACTATATGAAAGAATACTCAGAATCACTAGCAGCAAGAAAAACCCAAATCAAGTTTTCAGGATTTTTCTCCCTGCCTAGCAAATAGACAAAGTGCACAAAAGATAGAAACAGTCATAGCTAAACAGGAGGTGGAGAAGTCAAGGAGTACTACCTTCCAGGAAAGCTATTGGTAATTATGCAAAGAAAGTGACCATACCATCCACAGCCCTTGACCAAGAGATCCCCCTGCTGGCATATACCCCCAGGAGGATACTGACAAAAAGGCTTGTGGTACACCAAAATATTTTAGCAATGCTTTCTGGTAGCAAAGAGCTGGAAACAAAGTCGATGCCCATCAACCAGGGACTGACTAAACAAACAGTGGTACAAGAATGTAACAGAATCTTACTGAGCTGTAACTCATGACAAATATAACGAATACAAAGAACTAGAGAAAGACTTTCACGTGAACAGATGCAACGTGAAGTCAGCAGAGGCAGGAAAACAACATACACAATGACTGCAACAAAGTAAATGGAAAGAACCATAAAACAACTGAAACTAAATATAAAACATACAAAAGTATAAAGAACAAGTTTGGCCCCAAAGAGATGGGAAAAGACACCTCCCCCAGCTGCTTTTCAGAGGTAGGAGGCCTAGGGGTATAGAACACTGTATATAAAATTATTTTTCCACAATATTTTATCTGATTTTGCTGAATTTTTATTTTTATTCTATTTAATTCTTTATTATAAGTGGCCCTCTGGGAAGGGAAAGAACATAAGGGTAAAATCCAGGAGACGTAAAGAAAAGACACCAATAAAACTTTGTTTTTAAAAGTACTTCCCTCCTTTCATTGCAGACGTAGGGAACCAAGGGTATGGAATGCTGTACATACCACCAGACAGCTACAATCTGGATTATAAGGAAAGGGTCCCTGGGGTGGGGGGGGTCAGGGAATACCTCTAAAAACGAATGTGACATAAAGCAAAGGACATCCGAAAAAATTTGTTTTAAACAAGTCAAACAAAAAGAAGCAATGTCATCCGTGCCTTTTTCCAAATCACTGATCAAAACGCAAAAGGATTTTTGGCCAGAATTAAGCGGAGAAATTTGGGGCACTCCTCTGAAGACATTCTTCTACATGGACATCGAATCATAAATAACTCCTCTCTCCAGGTGTGGTCATTCAGCCCCAGGCACTCACTCCCAGGGAACCTAATTGGACTTTTGTCCAGCTCGTATTTCCCCATCTTTTCTTCAACAGCAGGAGATGTGATCAGAAAGTGTGCTAAACGTCTAGATAAATATTGTGTTAATGATAACGTCACTTACAAGGCAGCTAAATACTCAGATTAACTGCAATGACTAATCTTGGCCCCAGAGAACCTCCCTTCCCTTGGCACAAAGGTGGGAGATGGGGGGGGGTGTCTACCACCCAGTCTCAAACACAGTCACTTGGTCAGTTTTGAGCAACAATTTTTCTTTGCTATGAGGTGAGGATCAATACTAGATTGGCTAGAAGGTTGGGCGTAAAAAAAGAAAAGTCGGCCATATATCTTTTTAATAAATGGTAAAATAAAATACAGAAAAAAACAGATGAAACTCAACAAATCCAATACTAACCAATTAAATCTGGGTAAGTAATGTCTGTAGAAATCTACTGGGGGGCAGCTGGGTGGCGCAGTGGGTAGAGCACCGGCCCTGGAGTTAGGAGGACCTGAGTTCAAATGCGGCCTCAGACACATAACACTCACTAGCTGTGTGACTCTGGGCACGTCACTTAACCCCAATTGCCTCACTAAATAAATAAATAGGGTAAAAAAAAAAGAAAAAGAAAAAAAGAAATCTACTACCACGCCAATTTAGCAATTCTTTCCAAAGAAGAAATGAGGT